ACATCGACACACAGACTCTGTAGGATGACCATTTCGGATAAACAATCCGATTAGAGATAATAAGTTTCGGTTAGGTAAGGTTTGGTGTCAAAACAGTGATTTTTTGCTCGATTGAGTGGAGTTTTAGCAGGACTTCGTCAGCAGCCGCACAACGGCTAGTAGTGTACGCAGATAAAGACTGCCGGCAAAGACAGGGGAGACTAGGATGGTTATATTTGACTTATTAGCCCTAATCATCTGCTCATACCTTATTCCTCCACCACATTACTAGCTGCTGTGCGGTTTTTGAAGGGGCTCGAGACTGCGCCCCTAGGTAGAACCGGATGAGTGAAATCCCTTACTGATGCATGCGTTTTCATCCGCCCATGTCAATATTACCGATCCAAATTGTCATAATAACGAGTCCGTGGCGCAATGATTACGGCATCAGACTTCTGATCAATAGGTCGCGGGCTCGAGCCTCGAGTTGTGCGCGACAAGGGCCCGCGTTTAACTGATTGATGACGTCCAGTGAGCCAGAAGTGATCGCTCTAAGATGTTATACACTTTAAAATATATCTGCATACTATGCACGGGGACCCGACCTTCGTAATTTGACTATCCTTCTAGCCTGATATTTTTTTACCTTTCGACTCGACTTCAAGCGAGAACTGGACTACATTTGTGCTTAACGAACAATCCAGTTAGGAACCCGCCCTTTTGCATCAATAAAGCAGTTCCCTGGTAGCCTTGGTTGTGCATTTTTCATTGTCTCCACATTTGCATAACCTAGGTTGACCGTAATGTGACGGCTATCGCGACTTCAACGGTCGCCGCATTGGTTGGCAACGAAAGGATGCTGGCTGATAGCCCCTACCTATTCGGGGAGTTGAAACGTATGAGAAAGGAGAACAAGCCAGCGCTTGCCTCATACGCAGCAGGACCAGGTACGGTGCACTATGTGTGCCAATTTTGGCAGCACTTTCTTCCTCACTCCACCCGCTGTTTTTAAGAGTTTTTATACTTATTTTGTGGCGTCAG